GGAGATGGAATTAATTCAGTTTTAATTAAAATTGATAAACGACTGAATCTTTTATGTTTATTGTTGGAATTTTTATATGTTGGTCCTTAATTTCTGAACTTGCTCCAGTAAAAATATCATGTGCTAATTCGTTCGTTAGGTCGGGCTTTGAATTTTATGCTCGTTTTTGCTGATATCGTATTTAAATTTTATAAAATTGTGTTTAATGGTTTTGGAGCTGAAACTTGGTATTTTACTTAGTTCAAAGAGGAAAATTTATGTTAAAGTTTCAGAAACTAACTCATTCAATATCTTGATCAACCTAATTATGTGATATTTGCGTGAACTCCTATGTTTGGTTGTCCGAGTCTAAGTCTTAGAGTTGCAATATCCACAGGACTTCACGAACCACTTAGTCGAATCAAGTTTGGCTAAGTCAAATTTGTGATTTTTTACTTAAGTTTAGATAAAGCGTTGACTTTAGTATCTAGACTTATGTAGGTGTCTAGAGGTGTTGACCTCACCCCGCCTTCGAGAATCGTGATTGTGTTTTGTCGCTGCGAACAGGTGGGTACATTTATGATGTATTCCATAATTATTGCACTCTTTATTCATTTAATGCTTCATTTAAAAAATGGTTGTATGCGTGAGAACCTTAGTCTAGGTGTCCCGTACAATAGTGCCTTTAATGAATGCGAAAACAGTAGGAGGTCACTTGGCCGTTGTATCTGGGAGGAGACGCCCCAAGCCGTTGTACCCAGAAGGGGAAAAACATCTCCACTGTCTCTTGAAAAGGATCCTACGAACCGTTGTACTCGGGGGTAGGAAGGTTTCCAGTTACTTCCATGTCGTTGTATCTGGAAGCTTGTTGTATGTACATAGGAGGTTTGCGATAGGGCTGAGTAGAGAGTTTAGACCTTGGATCTATGCATACTGTGAAAATGTTTTATAATACTTTATACTGGATATCTGTGCAATAATGGTGAGCTTGTTGGTTATGCTCACCCCCATTGTTCGTTTTCTGTTGTTGTTCCTTGCTTCCTTCTTTAGGTTGAGATGAGCTGGAGGCGGTGGCGTAAAGACGAGCGAGATGGTGGTCAATGGTCGATTGTGTTATTCTTATGCTTCCGCCTGTTATGAATTGTTGAACTGCTTATTGACTTAGTTTTTATTTTTCCTGCTTTGAACTGAATAATTATGCTATCGTCGGATTTGAACCTTGGAATTATGCTTTTAGTTATTGGTTAATTAGGAACTTATGAAATGCTTGGTTTTGGGTTTGATAATTGTTAGTAAAGCATGTGTAGGTTCTATCTGATTTTTTGTATGTTGTTTTAATTGCTGTCGGTAGTTAGGTAGCGCCTGTTGAGTTTCAAATTTTGAATTGTTTAAAAAAAAAACTAAGATTTTTGTGAATTTATTTTGTAACATCTTTAAAATAAAGTGGGGCGTTACATCTCTCTTCCCAAGAGAGAAAGCATTTTATTTCTGTGTGTAGGGATTACTTCTGCGACGAGCCATTCTTATTCAAGATGAGAAAGGACGAGGTGCTTAGGAGATGTGTTCCGGAAGAGGGGGAAGCTGATGTCCTCGCTTTCTGCCATGAATTCCATTGTGGAGGCCACTTTGGCGGTCAGAAAACCACCTTTAAGGTACTACAGTCAGGTTTGTTTTGGCCATCCCTTTTTAAAGATGCTCATACTTTCTGTCGTTCTTGTGATCGATGCTAAAGGACTGGGAATATAGGTCGTAGGAATGAAATGCACTTGACTAATAACCTTCAAGTTGAAATTTTTGACGTTTGGGGCATTGACTTTATGGGGCCGTTTCCTAAGTCTAATGGCTACGAATCCATTTTACTTGTCGTAGATTACGTGTCTAAGTGGGTTGAGGCTATCCCCACGAGGACATGTGATGCTAACAACGTGATCAAGTTCGTGCAAGGGCATATATTGAGTAGGTTTGGATTCCCAAGAGCGATTGTGAGTGATGGCGGGAAGCACTTTTGCAACAAGCTTTTCGAGAAGCTGATGAAGAAGTACTGCATAACGCATAAAGTGGCTACTCCCTATCACCCACAAACTTCGGGCCAGGCGGAGACTAGCAATAAGCAGATAAAGACCATCTTGGAGAAGACGGTCAACTCATCAAGGAAGGATCGGTCGAGCCGGCTCAACGATTCTTTGTGGGCCCAACGTGTTGGGATCTATGAGGATCTCGATATGCACAAATCACGGATAAACATTCAAACATAAACCTATGCGCAGCGGATCTAAAGGTTTGATGTAGAAAACTTACGGCTTAAAATTTATGTAGATCTGGCTGGCCCGAACGGATGATCGCAAATCAAATCTTCTCGGAATCGAACAAACTTGACCAATCCAGGAAGCTGGCGTCACGGCGAAGTCAACGGCGTTGACCGATAAGGAATCAGAGCGTCCACGCACTCTCACACGCGCATGTGAGTCTCAGCAGCAGTAATCCTCCCGTGGCGCATGTAGGCGCGTGCGGCGGCGGCTGGCGGCGATCTCTCCGACTGGTCGTCCTGGTCGTCGTGGTATGGTCACTTGCTGGTTTTGGTCTCCGGTTTGGATGGATGATAAATTTGATTAGAATCCCGT